AAAAAAAAAAAAAAAAATTAAAAACTTACAATCTCTTCACACAAAATTTGAAGCCGATCGACTCGCTTTCAATCACCTTCCGCCTGAAGTTTCCGGATTTTCCACATCACCCGCATTATGCTCCTGACCGGGATCATCAGACATTATGTGATTGCTCGTCTCAATGTGGTTTCTTAAAATAACGACTTGGACCCGTCTTGACCATCTCAAGACCTCAACAAGAATCGAGCTTAAGCTCATCGACACGCCTAATCCCGTCAGTGTGGATAGAAGGATAGATAGAACAACTTGCACGCGAACCTAACAATTATTATTATTATTTTCGTAAGTGAAAGTCTCGATCAATTTCGTGTTTGATTATGAATACATGCATCACTAAAACATGAATAAATAGGTCATGCTAAGAATCTCTTATGTTTAGTTCACAAATACTATTCTAACATGAAAAAAAAAGAAGGTATTTCTCACCAAGCTATAGAAAATATGAGCAAAGAGAACAACGAGCACGAATTGAACAAACGCGTAAACCCATACGTATCTCCTCTTAACTGCAAATAGGAACCGATCGTTAATTTGTGCGATTTTTCTATTTTTATTTTTTAATCTCATCAAACAGGTGTAACAGGGGAGAATATAAACAACGATGTTTATGAGGAAAGTCGTACGATTATAGTCGACTTTTAATGAATGAGCTATAAATTCGATCATTTACCCATAGTTGATGATGTCATAGATGCAAGAAGTCCAAGCACACAAGAAAATGGAAGTGATATAGCAATTGCACTGCTACCCATTTTGCCAACCTGCAGCAAGTATATAAAGATATAAAGAAAACATGAATGCATAATTAATTACTTGTGTTTGTTGTATATTATCTCAATTAAGTTAACTATGCATTGCAATAATAAACTCACCAAAAGCTGCTCAAGGAAACAAAAGTAAGCTAGCATGCTAACAATGACTAAAATCGGCACGTCCTCCCAAACCCTGCATTCGTTGTTTATAAATTCTTAGTCGACAAAAAACACGCGCATGAAAAAAAAAAAATTATTATTATTTGGGACTTCTGCCTGTATCCATTAATCTCCATCTGCTGTGCGAAAGTACTTGCTTGATCGATAGAGCTTTGAATGCATAGAAGCGTAACGGGTAGATTTTCGACTTGTTGCTTGCAAACATCACAAATCTTGTTACCCTTAATCGAAAACCATTTTACGGCACATTCTTGATGAGCCAGAGCAAGTTCACCTTTGCAACTACATTCCATCTTTAATGTTGATCCACCTTCGCATAATTCGACCAAACAAATCCGACAAACGGCTTCCTCTTTGGGTATATCTTCACCTTCGATCTCATTGTTTTCTAGCAGAAATCGGAGATGAAAAGTGAAATAACATAAAAATAGGAAATGCTATTGAGTATGAAGAAAAAAAAAAGTGATTACCGTCATTTGAAGTTGAGGTCTTTAACAAGTCCTCATTTTCGGGTTTTGCTTTAGGAGTCGATGGAATAACACGAAAGTAAGAATCAATCTTTTTGTTGCGAGCCGGGACAGAAAGTGATCGGGACATTAAACGAACTACTTTTGTCTGCAAGAAAACGAATAATAATCGAGTATTATATATGCCAATTTAAGAAACTATACCCTAATTCTCGAACGACGAATATCAATAAAGCTTCTTGCATTGTATGTATTTATTGAAGAAACATCAATCCTTTGGTGTTAGGCCAAATTACACGATTGAAACCTTTCGAACTTCAAACAAAAAAAAAAAAATCTCTCGACTTTTCGAAACATACAAAACAATCCCATTTTTTCGAGCTACATTTTGCATTTACATCCCGAATTGTTTTTCCCGAAAAAAAATTTAAAGCAAATCTCAAAAGAGCTCTTACATCACAAGCTGAGTCTCGATTCGAACTACTCCCGATTGGGGTAACCGGGAGGGACGATGTTGTCTTTATCCGAGGAGTAAACATTCTCGAAAACAAAAATAATGACGGTTTATCTTGCGAGTCAATTGTTGTTGAAGCAACATTTTGCTTGGAGTTCAGCTTAGGAAAAATACTCTTTATGGATTGTCTCGAACCGGGACTTGGTGTTAATGCAAAGCTCACTCTCTTGGGGGTTCGAATCGGAGTTTGTGGCATTTTTATCTGTACAAATTCTGGACGAGACACATTTTCGAGTGTTCGTGTGGGTATCTCCAAGAAAAGGTTCGATTTTTTCCAAGTTTTGCTGTTCGGGTTCGCCATTTGTTCGGCCAATGGCCCTCCAGAGGATTTTTCAAGCTAACAAAGAACAAAAGCTTTTTAGTACTAAAGTTCGATGTTATTTGGTCGATAAAAAAA